CTGCTGCTCATTTCATGCCTTAGTTCTTAGAGGCAACTTCAGGTGTCAGTGTTGCGCGATATATTTTGGACAATAGAAGACACCAGATGGTGTTCTCTTTTGACTGAGTACCACATAATAATTTTGCTGTTTTAAAACCTTATTTAAGAGTTGCTTAGTAAAGGTGGGTTTTGTGTTGTTGGTGGGTTTTTGGTTTTGTTTTTGTTTTCTTTTTTTTTGTTTGTTTGTTTTTTTTAAACTGGATATTGAAGTTACCATTTTGTTCAACCTGGAGGATTAATTCCCCGTGATGCTTTGATTTGTGTTGATTGGTGGAGATCCTGTAACAGCAGATCCAGTGCTGGCATAGACTTCACTGTTGAGTCTTTCCACAGCAAGAAGGCCACGCAATCACTAGGAAGGCTTAAGAGCTCATAATATAAGCAATTAGAAAAATGTGACCTTGACACAATGTTGTGGGAACAAAATATTAGAGCAAATGAGGATCTTTTAGTTCTGCGGAGTGAAGGAATGGTGGATGATAAGAGTGAAACTGTTTCATTTTGTAGAGATGACAGCACCAAAGAATTTATTTTATTTATTTTGGAGGAGAAGGAAGGCAGCATTTTGGAGCCAGTTAATCAAAAGTTTATTAGTTGTTTGAAGATTTCCAAAGTTTTGTTATGTCAGAAGTGGAAATTAATGAACTGAGTTTCATGATGTTGTGCTGGAGTTACAACAGACTTTTTTAATGCTGTATTTCTACACCTTGGGTAACACGGATATCGCATTTTTATGTGCATGTGCTTTCATGAATTTAACTTTTATATAGAAGTCTGTGTGTCATACTTGTCAAATGTCTACTGTTTCAGTTCTCTTTTTCCTTTAAACACAGCTGTTGGAGCTGTTTGACAGCGAAGACCCTCGAGAACGAGACTACCTAAAAACAGTCTTGCACAGAATTTATGGCAAGTTTCTGGGTCTTAGAGCATTTATCCGAAAACAGATTAATAATATTTTTCTACGGTAAGTTGTGGGAGACGTTAGTTTTCCCTTATGAACATTTTAGGAAACTGATATATTACTTATATTTAACTTCTCTTTTTTTAGATTTGTTTATGAAACTGAACACTTCAATGGCGTAGCTGAACTGTTGGAAATTTTAGGAAGGTAAATGAGTCTTTATTTATTAACTATCTCAAACTTCCCTTCAGGACACGTCAGAATAGTGTTAGATTCGGAAAAAGTATTACTATAAGCCCTGATTCTGAAAACAGATGTGTGCACATGCTCATCTTTAAGCCCGTGTGCAAATCTCTGTCACATCTTTGCCAAGAGTATATAATTGGATGCAAGTTACCGCCAAAAGTGTTGGATTGATTTTGTGCGTGTATATGTGTGTGTGTTAAATTTTGTGCACTTCATCCTTATGTGCTACAGAATTGTTTTGGTTTTTTTTTTTTTGAACACACTAACAGTGTGAATATTTTGAGTAAATCTAATTCTGGTAAATTAATTACTCAAGAATACCTTGCTTTCATGAACTTACAGACCAGATAGGCAAGGTCTTATCTGTTTGGCAACAGGTTTGTGCAGCTGTTTATATGATTGTTTCTAAGTCGGAGCTCAATTGCTACCTAGATATGTACTGCGCTGCTAATATAAAGCAGGACAAAAGTCAGCACCTGTTTACAAATGGCATGAGCCTGCTATTTGTAATCAGGTGCTGACTGCTAAATTATTTTAATCTAGAAAGTGCTTGTTCAGACCTCAAGAATGTTTTCTGTGATGATAACACTAACAAATATTTCTCTTCTAATTTCTAGTATTATCAATGGTTTTGCTTTACCTCTTAAGGCAGAGCATAAACAGTTTCTGGTGAAGGTGCTGATCCCTTTACATACTGTGAGGAGTTTATCACTCTTCCATGCACAGGTAGAAATTATAAAAATATTTTCTGTTCAGTTAGAATGATTTTTTTTTTTTTTAAGGTTGCTTTGGAAATTTAATTGCATAGCTCATAAAAGGTGGGGGGAAAGTTTTGAAATGTGGAAAAAATGCAGTAATTTTTAAAAAAATTCATTTAATGTGCTTTGTATGATAAATGTCTTGCTTCTGTTCTGATTAGGTAATTAAAAGTGTAACAGACATCTGTCATATTTTGGGGATTTTGTTTAGTAGTTAAACTCTCTCTTTAGGTTCTTCTCTCTGCTGTTTTCTCATTCTCACAAGTTTGTCATTCCCATTCCCTCTCCCAAGAGGATGTTTGGATTTCCTTAGTCTTGTGCTGTCAAGGCTCTTCTTCACCCTGGCAACTTTCTGAATACTAATACCTGCATTTTTGCATAGTCTTTAACATTCTGCCTCCCAGATTTCTTAATACTGCATTTATGTTCTCATATATCTTTTTATACAGCTTTCATGATGTAATTTTTCCTCTGATAAGTGATACCTGTTACCTTTCTCTCTGATTTTCAGATAGTGCAGTCTTTCTTATGCTAATAAAGCTGTGCTTTCTAAATACGTTATTCCAGGTTTTAGCTGTGTCGGCTCATCTTGCAAGCGTTTTCATGATTTTGCCGATGTATAAAATGTGTAAAAAGACGCAGTTTCAGAGAATAACAGAAGCTTCAAAACATTGGTTGTATTTAGAATTCCAAGTTGCTCTGATTTTTATTGTATATGCTAATTTGTCACCCTAATTTTTTTTGTAATGTGTTCTGTTGTTTCTTATGAACTGGATTTCTTATGAGTGGATTTGCACAGTGCAAACTATGCATCTCAGTTTAAAATTGGATGCAATTTGAGAAAGCTGTATAGCATCTTGAGTCTCTCTTTCTTTAAAAATTGTTTCTTTGTGGTTTCTTCATAGAAATGTTCTAACTTCATTTTCTTAAATCTTTACCTCTTCACAGCTGGCGTATTGCATAGTACAGTTTCTGGAGAAAGACCCCTCACTCACAGAACCGGTAAGTATTTCTTTCATACTTTTTTTTTTTGCATCATAAACATCTTACCCTGTTGAGAGAAAAGTAAAAAATCTAACTTTTTTTTCCTTTTAATCTAGGTCATTAGAGGTTTAATGAAATTCTGGCCAAAAACCTGCAGTCAGAAAGAGGTAAGTGATATGCTAGTATTAACAAAGCATTAGAGTTATTTTATTCTACATTATAATAGGCAGGGAATCTTCAGATATTTCCAGGTAGATAGCACATGCTGTGGTGGATCTTGGTATTAATTCCTGTAGGTGTTTTTCCATACTTGAATTCTGGTTTTTTGGACAGTTTTGACTATGAATAGAAAAGTTTGATAACCATGGTTTCTATTCACAAAATAAGCACTGGTTCTTCTGCAAAGAAATTCTTTTTGTTTTAGAAAGGAGAAAATAAACATAGTTGAGGATAGATTGGAAAACTCTGTTAGATTTGGAATTGTTTATATGTGAGGATAGTGTTTTTCCAGGGAGGGTGAAAGATATTTTATTGTCTGGCGTTTACCTACTAAACATGTAAAAGATGCAGTTAGACATTTGCATTTTTATTTCAAATTCTTGATGCAAATCTGAGTTTCCCTAATGAGATTTTATGACACAGCAAAACCATTATTTTGAATGTTGCTTCCAAAAATGATGTAAAATTAAGAGACTCTCCTTAGTTAATGAAGTTTAAGCCTTGGCCAAATTCTTTGTGTGAGGCTAGGTTTTCAGCATGGATATACTGGTGCAATTCTGAATTTTGTTGAAAAGAACTACTTTAAATACAGCATTTGCACACACTCGTTGTCCTTCTTTTAAGAGACTGAATCCAGAAGGTGCTAAAGGTAGAACTGATCACATTTTTTGAGAGAGGGTCTTGCTGAGCTAGTGAGGCTTCCATTTCTCCCTGAAGTGGTAAAATTTGAGGGTTACCAGCATTTTGCTGATCAAGATGATTCAGAGGTTTTATATTCAATGCTTCCTTCCTTGTCTTTAGGTCATGTTCCTAGGAGAGCTGGAGGAAATCTTGGATGTAATCGAACCATCACAATTTGTCAAAATCCAGGAACCCTTGTTTAAACAGATTGCCAAGTGTGTCTCTAGCCCTCATTTTCAGGTCAGTGGTAGAGGTTATTGTTTGTATGGGAATGTGTAGTCTCAATTTCAAACATAACACCCTCCCAAATATAAATATTATTTTATGTTATGTGGTTTTAAATACTTGTCTTCTAGATTTCTATGGAAGAGGGTATGTTGCAGTGGAAGTTTAGTTCTGAGCTCCATGAATAACTTGTTAGATGTATCTGGGGTTACAGCACAGAACTTGCCATTCTGAGCCACATAAGGCCTTAAACTGTATCCAAGCAGACTTTGAGCCCTTCTGACTGTAGGTGATGGGTACTCACTGTATGGCCTTCGGACTGATAGACCATGTAGGATGTATTTGCTCCCTTTTTTAGCACGGTATTGTGCAGCATTCTTGTTTTCCTACTTACTTCCTTCTGTAAGGAGATGTGTGGTTAGAGGTGATAGAACCCATAGCCTGTTCTCTTCACATTGCATAATGGGAAGAAGAGGAATTAATAGGATTTAAGTTGAATCATATGTGAAGAGGAGAGAGTCTCCATATTAAGCTAGGTGACCTATCCTGGTAGAAAGGCAGATATGACTGTTTTCGGCTCTTCCTTGGACTACATTTGTTTTTAGCATAATTTAGATCAGTGTTTTCCCTCCTACCCCCTGCCAAGCTCTTCCCCAAGGTGATTATTATCATTGGTACCTTCCCCACACTTAAGATCTCTCCTCCCTTATTCAGCCCAGCTACTGGCCCTTTCCCTGTCTCCTTCCTCTGGTATCCCAGCACTGCTCTTTTCCTTCCGACTGCAGTCACAGGATTGAGGGAAAGGGGCGATGGGAAGTCTTCTGCTCTCCCTTTCCCTCCACAGCTGCAGCATTAATGCAGTGTCTGCACCTGGTCTTCAGTGAGTAACAACATATCACTCAGGGGAAAGAGAGAGTGGATGCTGTGGGATCTGAATTATAGGATAAAAACTTAATTCCATTAATGCATGTTAAGCTACTGATTAAAGTAGAGTTTTAATTCCAAAGTTAATGATTCCCGTTAATTCATCTTTGTGAAATTTCTCTGTGATTTGTTTTTCCTTCAGAAAATTACAAAATTATGGGTATCTGAATTCCTGTTAATATTTTATTCCTTTGACTCAAAGGTGGCCGAAAGAGCACTGTATTACTGGAATAATGAATACATCATGAGTTTGATAGAGGAGAATTCAAATGTTATACTTCCCATCATGTTTTCCAGCCTTTATAGGATTTCTAAAGAACACTGGAATCCGTAAGTTTTTGCCATTACACTTTATCTTACCATTTGACATACCACTGATAAACTTAGGGAATGTCTGCTGAAGAACCTCTGAATGGGAGAGATCCAAATTCAAAGCTGGCATGAACAGGTGCAACTCTGTTAATGCCAATATAAATTAGTCTATATTTGAGCTTGTCTCAAAATGTTTTTAATTATCTCGTATGTGTACAAAAACCAGTACCTTATGGGATAAAAATAGACCTTCTCGCAAGTTGGGGAAAAAAGAGAAATTAGATGGTACATTGTTATTGAATAGAAAGTGTTGCTCATCAAACATTTCTCCTACGCAGTTTTTAATAAACTGGTTAACGTCTTAAGCCTGATAGTAAATTGTCTAGAAGAGTATCGCTTGGCATTAATAAAGCTTTGTGGCTGTATCATGGATGATACTGATACCTCTGGTACTGGCATTTTTCTAAACACCTGTGAAGCATATAGACAGTAGTATATTCTTAGGTTGGGTTGTTTTTTCTAAATTTATTTAAATACAGCTGTTCTCTATTATGCACAGTAATAGAGCAGTTGCTTCATATTGATATCCTGTTAATTCGGCATTTTTATTTTTAAACTGAATGACCTAGTAGAAAGTGTTTTAATAAAAAATACTATTACAGTTAGATTGCATCTATTCTACACTTTAGTTGAAAAGTCTTTCTAAGTCAAGATGGTTACCATTTAGTAAACTCAGTGTTTTTAATGAGCTGTGCTACATTCAGGTCCCAATTGCTTTAAGAGCTTCCTGTAAAGTATTTGTAAAATATTTCATCTTTTCAAACGTTAGTCTTTTTGTTCTGTACCTAAGTCAAACCCTCAAGTTTGTATGCTTACATGACGAATCTAATGCTACTAGAAAGCTTCTGTAACTAACGTTGGTCACAAAAAGACACTTTCTATGGCATAGTACCGCATTACCAGTCTCCAATCTGCCCATGCTCCTGCCCAACCTTTTACGCTATGCACAGGGATGCTTCTGGTAATGAGAATATTCCAGTATCCCAGTTCACAGTTTTCATACCCGCGGGAATTTCGTACCTTTGACACACAAGCCAGGTTAAGATACATGCAAAATAAAGAAGGTATTTAAAGAATTTTTATAAGAACATTTCTAAATGTAGGCAACAAAAATGAAAGTTTATTGAAAGAGGTGAATGATAGACAGGGTTGCATGGGAAATGTCACATAGTTTCTCTGCTGTATAGGTTAGCTCCAAAGGTTCCTGGCACCTGTAATGTTGATTCACTGCTTCCTGGCGGTAGAGCTGTTTCTTAAGCAGCCCCATGTCTGAGTATGACAACCACAGTAGTGGATCGGGAACTGGGATCTCTTGATTGATAATCTATTCCAAATTCTTTGAAAGTTTTTTAGATTTGTTCCTTTCCCTTCTCCCTTTTCAGTTGCTTTGTTTTTTATCTTCAACTCTGCCAGAAAGGAATTTTGACCTTTAGATAATCAGACTATTGGCAGACCCATCTTACTTTGGAAATTCTAGTATATTTTAGGTTAGTTATGCAGTCAGATGGTATAAAAGAGTAAACTGATTCCACTTTTTTTTGAACCTTTGTGGGACAGAATGCCTTTGAAGCCTTTTTGAAATTATTGTTATTACACATCATTTTTTCCTCTATGAACAGATCATGACTGTCAAGTTTTATGCAACTGAGCAACTCGAATTCAGATAAGCAGTGGTGTATTGTCTCTTGGGTAAGGTCAGGAACAACAATAAGCAAAGTAGGCAGAGGTTATAGAGAGAGAGCTACATAGATGCGACTTTTTTTTTTTTTAATATATATACACACACACACACAGAGTTTTACACAGATACTGCAGCACTCATCTGATTTGTGGTTTTTTTGAAGAGTTTTTTGCTGTACCAAAGTGAAAATATGAAATGTATGAGTACAAGAAAATCGCTCTTGAAATACAGCCTTGTATTTTGTACTGAAATACAAAGTATACCTTGTATATATGTACTGAATATTCAACTTCATAGAAAAATCATAAGGAAATATGAATCACTCCCATTTCATGTTTAAATTCTATTCCTTCTGCCAGCATTGATGATTTGAATCCCTGGAGTTGCATTCAGAATTGCTCCACAGCACGAGGGAAGAGTCTGTAGTTATATGTAATAGCTTTCTGTTGTTACCTTTCACCCTAGAGTTTTGGTTTGCTCCATTTAAGTAGTCAGTAGAGACATGAAAGCTGATTCTCACCTTTAAATATGTTAATCAAAAGTAGTTTCACTGAAATCAAAGAATTTACATTACGATACTTGCAAGAGCAGAATTGGTTGCAGAAATGCTGGTGGGAGAAGACACTTTTGTTTCACGTTTGATTTCGCCTGAAACTAATAGACTCCTTTCTTTTTTCTTTTTTAATGTTTCACAGGGCTATTGTGGCTTTAGTCTACAATGTGTTGAAGGCATTTATGGAAATGAACAGCACCATGTTTGACGAGCTGACAGCCACTTACAAGTCAGATCGTCAGCGGTAACTTTTTAAAGCTTTTTTTGTCAGCTGTGCATAAGGCCTGCTGTTTGGTTTTTCCCTTACACTCAGATGCAATTGCATAATCTCACACACAATAGACACAATGCCTTATTTTTCCCTTTGCATGCTCTTTAGCCTTCTCCTTGCAAGATGTAAGATAATATCATGTACAGGTTGTTCTTTAGCCTTTATGAAATACAGTACACATTGCGTTGCTTGGGAATCTGCATTCCTCATGGAATACCTTTTGACTCCGCATTCCAAAAGACTTAAACGTATCAAGATCTTCAATAATAAAAGAAAAATAAGGGTTTAAAGATAATGCTTTGCTTAAAGAATTCAAAAAAGTTACACTGAGGTTTGGAAAGAGACATTTTGATTTGATTTTCCAAACTACTGTTTGTAGGTTAGATGTAGTCTTAAAGAGGCATCTCTCAACCCTTTCATTTCTTATTTAGAGGTCTTGCTGTATCTGCGTATTTTAGCATGGAGGATTCATTACATACACCACTCATATGATCATTAGTTCCACCCTAGTAAAATGCTTTTTGTATTTTCTCCTATTTTCCTTAATCTTCATTTTCCAATTATAATGCAGCATCTTTTCTCAAAAGTTTCAGCTTATCCAAAGCATCAGGTGAAAAAAATGAGGAAACTTCAGGAACTCTGAACAATTTGCAACTTCATTTAAGTCATACTTTTCTGTGACTCAGGGTTCCGCCAAGCAAAGCAAAGGGTACTGTATGTCCTCGGACCTTGTTAGGTTAATACAGTCTCTAAAGTCTCTTGGAGGCCATATTTTTTGAATTGTGTGACTGGAGTCACACTGTCCTTTTGTTCTGCTTCGTTGTTGTAAAATACAAAGTTTTGTACACAAAAAATCTACACTTTACAGGTTAGTTCATTAACACAGTATTTTACTTTTAGAGACTTGGATATATATTTGAGCTAAGATGCCAGATGAATTCTAGATAGGTGTTGATAAATAAGGCTCAATCTGCTAGTGCAGTTGAGACAACAGTGCGTGGTTTTCTAGCAGGAAAGGAAGAGAATCTTAGGACTGGTCGTCTAATCCAGCCATTTACTGAGGGAGCTCAGTGGCTTAAATTGCGCTTTGCCCCTTAAGATGAGGAACTCTGCTGTTAACAGGACCAGACACTATAGTAGTAGGTCCCATGTCTGGATAATGGGTGAGGTTTATTGACTGAACTGCACAAAGAATTTTTCTTGCACCTACTGACATTGTATCTCCTATCAAGGCTATCCTATTAACCATTTCACCATTTTTATTTACTACTTACAATTTTAAAACATGAATGTATAAACTGGGATATTTACCTTAATGTTTACATAAAATCTTTAGCATCTTAATAAAACCACATTTCAAAAGGGTAGCTTTGATACCACTTAAAGCTTGAGGAGAAATATGTTCAATATTAATGACTATAAATACTCTTGCAAATGTTAGGTTAGCTGTTTAATTTTATCAAATCAGCCTTTAAAGTCTGTTGTTAAAGCAAATGCTTCCTTGATCTTCGTGTAGGAATTTGGTAAGGAAAAAAAAATCACTGAACAAAAGACACATCTTGAACTTGAACTTTCCCTTGGCTGATGCTTAAGCTATATGAAAGCCTCTAGTCAATATAAGTAATAACAGTGATTCTAAAAGGATAAAGGAATGCTTGTTCTAAAAAGTGGCTGTTATTTATAAGATTAAAAAATACCTTGCTTAAATAAATAAACTTGAAAATAATTAAATACAAGTTAATCCTGAAATGTTGATTTTTATAATCATGATATATTTGTTCCATAATAAAAGTCCACTGCATTTTTTCTTCTGTATTATTACAAATGACTGTCTATGAACACTGTCACTTTGTTCAGGTTACATTTTATGTTCTTTTCCTACTGCTTTGTTTAGTGATATTTGTGTAGGTAAGGAAAAGAAAAAATATTTACAAAAATTAAATATATGTTAGGAAAATTGCAGTTGTGCTCAACAAAATTAGTGCTGCTAATTAATGTCAACTGTATATTTTTTAACATAAATATTCTACAGTCTTCCCTCCTGCTAACTCTTGTTTTATTTCATTTGTCAGTGAGAAGAAGAAAGAGAAAGAGCGTGAAGAACTGTGGAAAAAACTGGAGGATTTGGAATTAAAGAGAGGTCTTAGACGTGATGGAATAATTCCAACTTAACAAAAATACAAAACAGCATTATTAACCTGTGGAGTCACACATTTATGTAGTAGAAGATGGAGCAACAGTTTTCTGTATTGTGCAACTTTACAGTAGATTTCACATTTGTTTCATTATTACAACAGCACTGTATATACCTGTCTCTAAGTAAAGGAAAAAAATAAGGACTTTAATCCAAAGTTTGGACAGCAGATGGACTTCTCAGAACTTTGCAAACATAATCATTGTTTTAACCCTTCTTTAAAACCAGTCTTCAAAGATCTGTTGATGAAAATTGCGATGTCAAATTCCATTGTCAGGACCTGTTCCTTATTTATCGTTAGCAGAGAGTGTAATACAACTTTCAAATGTGAACAATCTTAAAATTTAGCTTGTCTTTCTGCTAAACTGTTAAGTGTATTTATAGTAAAGGAGAAAAAAAGACTGTCATTTCCTTATGAGTTTGTGTAACATCCTCCTTCTCTGGATAACTTTACTGTAATTTGACTTTTTTTCCTTTTGCACATCTTCATAAGTTGAATGTCCATTCAGATCAGGGCCATGAAAAACATAGGTCCTGAATAAAGTTTTGTTTACTGGTGTGAGCATTTTTTTAGTACCAGGATGTCTCTGGTGCTTCCTTAATTTGAACATTAGGAGTTAAACAACAAGTAGGTGATAAACATAGTAGGAAAGGGAGCTTTGGATTCATGCACCTATTTATTGCAAATCCAAATTAGTGTCCACAATCCTTTAAAAATGGGCAATGGTAACACCCTGGACTTCAGTACCTAACCAGTATTAGTGATAAGGCATTGGACACACATACCGGAGTTGTTTTAGAAATACTAATTGCTAAATTATTACAGTATGTTTTTATTGGACCATTTTGAAAGGATAAAGACAAACGCTAAACAGTGCAGGCATGAAATTGATCTCCAGTGGTCATGGATCTAATTGGAAATAGAGTTGAGATAGCAGTTTGGACTGTTTGGAGTTGTTGCCTTACTTTTTAATATGTATTTATAAAGTGTTCCAGCAAAAGAGGATGTAGCCTCTAAGAAACATACTATAGTGGTTTTGTGGTTCTAGTACTATTACTCATCACAGTACCAGCCCTATGGTCTTAGCTGGAAAGGATTCTGGATAATATACTTCTGCATTCTCATCTGGATGCTCATTCCTAACTACTGTATTTGTTACCAAAAGTGGTTCTACAAATGCTACTGAAAAAAATTCTGGAAATCCTAATGTTCTGAGTATTAATAATAAAGTTTAAAATGCTTTTATATCAAAGGTGCATTGTGACCAAATTGTTTAAGACAAAAGAAAAAAAAATACAAAAACAAAGAAGAGGGCTGTATTATAAGTATACATTATTGGCTATCTGCTTTGTATTTGAAAGTGGAATCTTACATCTTTGGTAGGTAAAATGCTGATAAGACTTATGTACAGTATATATTTAGCTAATGCAGTTGCATTATTATATACCGAAAGGTATGTGTTTCAGGATTTTTCTCCAGGATGCTTTTGAACTGTTATAGACATATGACAACAGTGAATTGATAATCCTAAACCATCAATCCAGCAGTATTTACAGTATAAAACTGAATTGGTGTTCATGAGTCTTTGTGATAGTTGCAAACATGAATTTATGACCTGTTGCCATTGATAGAAATTCAGTATAAATACAAGCTTGTATATTTTTCTTCCTACCATTTAAATATACAGTAAGATTTGAAGTTTTCATGTTTTCAGGCATGGAAAAGAGGTAAAAAAGAATTCCCTTCTAGACTACTGACTGTTTCAGGATTATCAGGTCACAGTTTGTACTCCTGGGTCTACACACACAAACGTTGTAAACTCAACAATTTTGTAAAAACCTGACACTGTTAATTCTGGAAAAAAAAGTGGAACTAGTCATACGCAACACCAAACACAACATGGTTTAGTGGGATTAATATGAGCTTCTTTTAAGAACACCGACTGGGACGCAATGTAAAGTAGGCAGTTACTGTCATAGTTGAAACATTTTATTTTGAAGTGCTGAAGCAAAGGTGCAAGCTGAGATACTGAAGATTAAATAAATTTATAACAAATCATGTCCCTTAGCCCATTGATTTTGACAGTCTTTTGTTTCTGTTACCAAAAAATATTTGCTAGTGTGATTTCTGTGTGAAATGATTATGCTTTACAAGAGGGTGGACTTAAACTCATGCTTAAAGACTGTGTTCAATTGTGAAAAACTGAGATAGAATGGAGGAAAAAAGATTAATGTTTTCTACCTGGGGGAGTGAAACACAACAATGTGAAATTAGAAAAAGCACCTTGTCCTGTACTTAGAGTTTAGGTGAGTGTTGTTTGTTCATAACTATTTTTGGTTTTGACATAACATTCTGGTATTGATCATACAAAACTGATGAGAACCTGATGGGTTGCAATATTTTGTTACCTCTGATGTTACCTCTGATGTGGGGATAGTGGGGAGTACCTAAAGTTTATAGATGATTTATCACTTCCGAGAAGGAATGTTTCGTTAAAGTGAATGAGACGATGTGATATTAGTCACTTGACTCTAAAAGGCTGATACGACACTAGGTTGCACTGTGCGATGTACGAGAAGAAGCACTTGCCACAATGATACGACCGTACCCCCGGGATCTGCTGTTTGCCTCAATCCAGATGCGATGTCCTGCCACTCTGCAGAGCTCCCATTGGTATCAGTTGGAGTTGTAGGCAAAGAAGAAGGCAGCATATGGGCCCAAGTGTGATCAGTGCGTCTATTTAATTATGCTTTCATTTGCTTCTTGAGTTCCAGGAACTACCTTTATTTGTGTAAATGTTTTTATTAACAGCTCATACAGCAGTTGTTGGGTGGTCGCTCGTGTCCTGTACCATATTGGTTTCAGGAGAAAGGATTGAATGCTCTCTGGTAAAAGGAAAGAGCTGCATTTTCAATACTAGGGCATTGTATCAGGTCATGGGGATATAACAACTGTAAAAGTGAAGTTCCTCTCATATACTTTAAATTGAGCACACATTGCTTTCTTCATCTTGCAAGTCTCCCTTATTGTTTTCCTTTCATTGGTCTTGAGTGTTTTTTGTCTCTCTTCCAAAGGTTGGAATGCTTTAAATAAAAGTATTCTAATGCCATTGGAGCGTTCACTAGCAGGGTTACAGTAAATTTAATCTTGGTTTTGTTAACATAAATAAAAGGATTTAATTTATTTTTTTATCTCCGCCTATATATGGAAAAATCGAGGGTGTTAGAGCCAAGAATTGCTTGAGTAAGAAATGCAGCAGCTGCACTTACATTATACATGCGTAAGTACAGCCTCAGGCTCTCTCACTCTATGGAAAGGAAAATACATTAGGAGCTTTAAAAACCTCTTTATTGTTTTGTGAGAGGGGGAAAGACTAGATTCTTCTCCCCCCAAATAAAACCGAAATAATTTGCTTTTAGTTCTGTCTTGGAAAACAGAGATGGCCTTTTCTCTTAATTGTGTAACAATACCATCCCAAAGCAGTTGCTCTAAAACAAGACAAAGGTGACAATGCGCAAGATTGAAGAATGTGTTTATTTACATGTGGCTTTTTTATTTTGGCTCACCTGCTTCCCTCAGCAGCTCTGGAGTGAGCCTCGAATTAGTTTTTCTAGTTGGTATGTGCAGCAGATTTTGTATAGCCCAGTTTTTTGTTCTGAAGTCTATGAAACAGTATCTTGAAACAGGATGGAACTAATTTTGATTGAAAACTTATCCAAGTGTTGCTTCCCATCCACAGGAGCATACACTTTTTATCATGACCTCTCTGAATACAAGTTTTTGTTATTTGGATCACTTACTGTAAATATGTTGTATTCATAACCTCATGTAATGATGAGGAGTTTTCAAATATAAATAGTACCGATACATTTCTTGTTGTTGTCCTATTTTTGATTGTAGTATAGCGAATGACCTGTCATGCTTTTTGTTTCAAGGTTAGCATTAGATTCATAGATCTTAATATTTTAGCATTTCATTGTTTAAGCAGGAGAGGGCAGCAAAAGTTCATTTTTCCCCATAGGAATGCTCTGATCCATTACTGTTTTTAAACCTAGATGCATTTAACTATCTGTGGGTAGGGGGGAAAAATGAAACATTTTTTATATATATTAAAAGGTGCATATGAAAATATATAGACTGGTCCAACCAGACTGTGAAAATGTCTTCTACTCTACATCCAAGTAATAATAAAAGAAAAATACCTTCCACTTCTGGATAAAGTACAAGCAGGTCTTAAACTCTTGGATTCAAATGTCATTCTTTGGAAATAACTTACTTTCTTATAAATGGTATCAAAGAAACTCAAACTCAATGGTGCTCCCAGCTATAAATGTGTAATCTTCCTCTTTTGCACATGCTCAAGAGGCTCTGTACTGTGGGTGCATCTAAATAAAGAAGCAATGAAGTGTTTTCCAGGTGCTTGGCTTTTTTTTCCACCTCCTCCCATCTAAACTTCATGTACCTTTGCAACAGTGAACTTCCAGTGATCAGGTATCCATTCGCATGTATTAAATGTAAGGACATTTGTCTGAGAAAAAAAAAGCCCAAACAATGAGGTGGTAATTTAAGTTTCTGCCAGAATTACCATAGTAAATGCTCAGTTTTCATTAAGTTTTTTTTTTTTTTGAAGGTCCTCTCCTGATGATGAGCATCTTCGTACTGCACACAACCATGCCTGTGAGGGAGGTAAAGAGCAGTGGATACAGAAAAGAGGCATTAGAGCCACAAATGTTCTTTATAAACCCTTTGAGCCTTACACTTCGTAGCTGGTGAAGGAACTTGTTGTTTTATAGCATCATTCTACTGTTTCAGTCCTCATGTTACTCTGCCTTGCAGTTTGGAAGCGAAGAGAAAGGCTTAAGATGGGAAACACCCTCTGGAGAGAACCACGGGTAGAGCCTGGTAAGGGGCAATGCTGGTGAACGGCTTTAGCAGAGGCGCAGTAGATATGGATGCTGCAGTAAAACTCGAGACAAGATGTATTAAACATCTACTTCTGTTTCTGAAACATCAGTTTCCTATGTGAATTATTCCAGTAGCCTAATTCTTAAAAATTATTTCCATTTTGATATTTTCTGAATTGAATTTTCAGCAGTTGGATCTTGCGTGTCTTTGTTAGAAGATCTCATTTTCACAAATCTCTTTAAATACTCGTAAGACAACATTCAGATCACTTAACAACCTCATGCCTCTTTACTTTTTTATTGCAAGGCAAGTATTTTCCAAAGAAGTTGAAAAAAAAAATGAGAGCATGCAGTAAGTTGGCCTCCAGGGTAGGATTTGTCTTCAGTACTTGCAAGTTAGAAAACAACCTTTAAAAGATTGGAATTAAAAACTTAAATTAGTTTCCTACTTTTGGTAATGATAATTGCTTTGCTAATTTTTCATCTTTGTCTTTCCTCCTCAGGAATGTTTTGGTTTCTCAAATAACAGTAGAGCGCCTAGTTTATCTTATATTAAGTTTGGACCCCAGATCACAAGTCTGTGGTCTACAAAACTAGTTCTGTGTGCAGGTAAAGGCTGTTCCCAAGTCTGTATTCAATTATTGCTTCAATGTACAGTAAGGCAATAGCTTGGGTAGTGAACTAGAAACTGATACAAGGTCTTGCATTACGAGTTCAGAGCTATCTCTGGTTTTAAAGATTCAATGCTGATGCCAAAGCGAATATCCTGAATTTGTTAGTAAATACCTTGAAAGAAAGCGTACTAACCCACTGTGAGTTGTGACTGCAGGCTTTTGTGGAAGTCTCCATCACATGAAAAATTGTCATACTGAAACTTTTCTCTTTTACGATTTCTCTGTTTGGTGTCCGTTCCCCCCCTCCATTCATTTTGTCTATTCAGTGCTTTCCCGCCACTGAAATCACTGAAGGTGTGAGAAGTTAGGGGTTACTCAGGAAGGATGGAAATCTTGCGATACATTTAAAGAAATACATATTTTATATTGCTGGACAGTGGCTCATACCTTTGATACACACTTGAAAATGTCTGGGAACTTGTCTTGCATTATCCCTGAACCTGGGAAGGTCTTCCAAAAAGAGAATGAGAAAGGGATATTCTATACAGCTTCTGAATCTTGTTTTCAAAATTCTTACTTAATCACCACCTGGGACAAGTTTTTGCTTGTGTACAAAGCCTCTGCACTTCACCGACAGGGAAAGCAGCAACCCAAGAGGCAGTGTTTATAGAGCACCTGGCTAGCAGAGTGGTGCACTGAGAATACTTACGCCAACTTGCCAGCCAAAGCAGAAG